CCCCAAAACCCCAAAACCCCAAAACCCCAAAACCCCATTGACCAGAAATAGAACAATTTTCTGATGCAATAGTCTAGAATATTAGATCGGATCAGCAATTATTAGCTTTTAGTATTAAATCAGTATAAATAGTCCACAATATTTATAATTTTAATAATTAGCGACAAATTAAATTTTGATGTAGATTTTTGTAAGAACACTCACTGGAAAGACAATTACCCTTGAATGTGAAGCCAACGAGACTTTTGAGTCCGTCAAGGCCAAGATCCAAGACAAGGAAGGCATACCAGCCGACTAACAGAGACTTATCTTTGCTGGCAAACAGTTAGAAGATGGCAGAACCCTCTCTGACTATAATGTCCAGAAAGAATCAACTATTCACCTCGTTTTAAGACTTAGGGGCGGTATGTAAATATTTGTCCGAACCCTCACTGGAAAAACTATTACTCTCGAATGCGAGGCTAGCGACTCTATTGAGAGCGTGAAAGCCAAGATCTAAGACAAGGAAGGAGTCCCCGCTGATCAATAGAGAATTATATTTGCAGGCAAGCAATTAGAGGACAGCAGGACTTTATCAGATTACAACGTATAAAAAGAAGCAACACTCCACTTGGTGCTGAGACTCAGAGGTGGTATGCAAATCTTTGTTAGAACCTTAACCGGTAAGACTATCACTCTTGCCGTGGAGCCATCAGATAACATTGAAAGCATCAAGAACAAAATTCAAGACAAAGAAGGTATTCCATCCGATTCACAGAGACTAATATTTGCTGGCAAACAGCTTGATGACGGTAGAACGTTATCTGACTATAACATCTAAAAAGAATCAACTATTCATTTAGTACTCAGACTGAGAGGAGGAAACTGAATACAATATGTGGAAACAAGCTATGGTCAATTAGTTACACTATACCTACATTGATAGGATCCTATTATATTATATGCATATAAAATTAATTTAAACTAAATTTTATGAAAACTATCCAAATTATATACTTGATGGGGTTTTGGGGTTTTGGGGTTTTGGGGTTTTGGGG